TACCAGGGACTGGAGAGCAGCTGATGTAGAGCCCATCCACACGAAGAGTGACAAAACTGACCCAAGCTACTATAGACCAATAAACTTGGATTATAGATTAAGCATGGAAGGCAGGTATTGTCTGACCAACATGTCAGAGTTCTTTGAACAAACAACAGCAGCAACAGATACAGGATATGGTGTATCTAGATTTACGGAAGGTTTTTGAAAAAGCTCCTCATAAAGCATTAATTCTGAAAACACAGGTGGTTGCCCTTAAGGAAAATGGAAACGCATTTGGACTGAGAACTGTAAACGTTAAATCCAAAACAAGAAACTGAGCTTGAAGAAGCTGCTTATACAAAAGACTTGGGTGTTTATGTTGAAACAGCACATCTGTGAAACAACATTTGTACCACACTCGTATTCATACGCCAGGGTTATTGGTATTATTCGCACATTTGTATCCTTTTGTAATCGACACAGAACAAAAGAGAGGTCTGGAAAGCTATACAGGACCAGTTATAAACCCAGATGAAACGGAACCTGCTCACTGTACTTCCTGGAATTAACACAAGGGAGTACACAGGATGGCCAGAAATCAAGCAGTGTGGCGAATGAATGACAGAGTCAGAATCAGAGGGTCAGGACTAGGCACTCGTCTACAGTGTAGGTTGGCTCTTCCTTCCTTCCTGCCTCTCTCTGTCCACTCACTGCATTACTGGCCAGCACCACACTCCCTTAGCTACTTATCTGTCACTTCCATAACAGTGGAATCACCTGCTAATGCAGTAGAGGCTGTTTCTTTCCTTCCCAATTCTCCTTACATTTAAGCATAAGCATTTATCCACCCTCCGTTACTATTCTGAATATTATAATTGGACTCTTATTGGACCTCCCACGTTATAGCGTATAATTTCTGTCCTTCTTGTAGTAAGAATGCCGTCGTTTCCACATGCCGACAAGTGGGTACAAGGAAATTATTTTACTAGTCAGTGAAAGATAGTAATAATGCAACTCAGTGGTACAATGAGTATAAATGAAATAAATTAGTATCGCTAAATGAAGCAATTTAGAAAGAGGAGAACTCGTTTCTATTTGTATTAGCATTTTCTCCTCTGCAATAACGAGCGCATACCTTCATCCCCATGAAGCGTACCTTCTTATTGGTACTGACTACCCTCTACAACCGAGCAGCCACTAGTTATCTAAAGGTGAAACGCGGGTGCGAACCCGCCCTGGTCCTACCCTGACCAAGGACGACAGTGCAAACCTCAGAGAAAGTGCGAACCAGACAAGCGGTACCTCGTGTTACGGAGCTGTAGTCCCACTAGACCAGCTGTCTCATTCCCGCCTCGCTGACCCGGCTCGTAAGCAGACGAGTGCTGATTTCCACGTCCTCTTGCTTCTCTTCGGCTCGGTTCAGTACTAAGCGGGCCTGACCGATCGTAAGGCGATCCACTCTCCTTCCGATCGGGTGCCCACTGGGTCCTGTTTCCAAAATCAACACGTTACTTACCAGCCGCTTCTCTCACATAGCCTTAGCTCCCAGTCTCGAACAGTCGATTCCCAATGTGAAGTTAACTTCTGAAACCCTATACTTATGTCGCATTCAAACCCGCTATCCCACAAGCAAACAAGCAAAACCTCAGTTTCCAGTTTCGATTTTCTGCGCTGGTGTCGCTGGGGTCCTTTCAGTCCCGCGGCTGGCATTAGTGACGTATGTATGGTGTTCACTCTTGTGCCCGAATATTGCAATGTAACCGATACGACCAGGGTTGTAAGATAGAGATAAGGTAGAACCAATTGATGAAATAGAAAGTAGAATGTAAAATGTTGGAATATTACTAAAAAATGATTATTTGAGTTATTTATTTTCAGTTACTGTCCTTTAGTATTCCTCATAGAGGTTTTACAGAATTTTAATTCAATTTAAGCTTTCTTATCCATTCACCCGTCCACTCTATAACCATCTAATCCAGAGTTGTAGGGGAGCTTATCCCCGTAAGCAATGGGCCAAAGGTGGGATATAATCAGGATGGGACACCAGTCCACCGTAGGGTACACACACAGCAGAGACAACTTTCCTTTAAGCCAATTAACCTACCAGTAATACCAGTATGTCTTTGGACTGTAGCAGGAAACCAGACCACTTGGAGGAAACCCATACAAACACAGGGCGAACATACAAACTTCAGTCAGATAGCACCTCAGGAGTTGATCCTAGGGCCACAGGACTGT